TTTAGTACGATCGTATTGCGTCGTAGTAGTGTTGTAGTAGTCGTAGTCGTACTAGTACTAGTGGTGGTAGTACTACTACTACTACTTCAACTACTACGCTAGTATTGTAGTCGTAGTTATGTTGGGATGGTGCGGTAGTAGTATTACCCTCGTGTTGTAGTATCACCAGTACTCTCGTTCTGGCTGTAGTAATATTATTATAGTGTGCAGTGGGATTGTAGTATTTCTACTAGTAGTACTATAGCATTGTAGTAGTAGGAGTAGGAGTAGGAGTAGGAGTAGTAGTAGGAGTAGTAGTAGTAGAAGTAGTAGTGATCGTAGTAGTAGTAGTAGTAGTAGTAGTAGTAGTAGTAGTAGTAGTAGTAGTAGTAGTAGTAGTAGTAGTAGTAGTAGTAGTAGTAGTGGCAGTAGTAGTAGTAGTAGTAATAGTAGTAGTAGTAGTAGTAGTAGTAGTAGTAGTAGTGATAGTAGTATCCTAGTACTGGCTGTATTAGTGGCACTGTAGTAGGACAGCACTGTAGTAACATTATTGTAGCAGCTGAAGTACTGCCTGTGCTCTTCAGAGGTGGCCTCGCCGTAGCAGTGTAGTATTCGATGAAAAGGAGTTGGCTGTAGTATTTGAGCAGCCGTACTTTGGTATGATAGTGCTCCGGTGTTGCATTAGCACCAGACTGATGTTATACTAGGGTGAATCGTGCTGTAGCAGTATTATTTTCATCACCGCAGCAAGGGTGCTGGCGCTGTAGTAGTACAGTGGTAATAGATAGCAGTACCCCAGTACTGTAGCAGCAGTCGTACCCTAGCACTGGCTGTAGCAGACGTATTCATAGTAGTGTAGTAGCAGTGCCCCAATGATGCCGCGCCCCAGTAAGATAGTATAATTGCCGCACTGCACGGTAGTAGTAGTAGCCGTCGTAGTCGTAGTCGTAGTAGCAGTAGTAGTCGTCGTCGTCGTCGTCGTCGTACTAGTCGTAGAATTATTAGTAGTAGTAGTAGTAGTAGTAGCAATAGAAGTAGAAGTAGAAGTAGTAGTAGTAGTAGTAGTAGTAGTAGTAGTAGTAGTAGAAATAGTAGAAATAGTAGAAGTAGTAGTAGTAGTAGTAGTAGGTAGTAATAGTAGTAGTAGTAGTAGTAGTAGTAGTAGTAGTAGTAGCAGTAGTAGTAGTAGTAGTAGTAGTCGTAGTAGTCGTCGTAGTAGTAGTAGTAGTAGTAGTAGTAGTAGTGGTAGTATAGTAGTAGTAGTAGTAGAGTAGTAGTAGTCGTATAGTATAGTAGTAATTATAGTAGTAGTAGTAGTCGTCGTAATAGTAGTAGTGTAAAAGAGTAAGTAGTAGTAGAGTAGTAGAGTAGTAGTAGTAAGTATAGTAGTAGTAAGTAGTAGTAGTAGAGTAAGTAGTAGTAGTACTAGTAGTGGTAGTAGTGGTAATAGTAGAGTAGTGTCGTCGTAGTAGTAGTAGTCGTAGTAGTAGTAGTAGTAGTAGTATAGTAGTAGTAGTAGTAGTAGTAGTATAGAAGTAGTAGTAAGAATGCAGCGCGGTAGTAGTAGTAGTAGTAGTAGTAGTAGTAGTAGTAGTAGTAGTAGTAGTATATAGTAGTAAGTTTAGTAGTAGTAGTAGTAGTAGTAGTAGTAGTAGTAGTAGTAGTAGTAGTAGTAGTATAGTAGAGTAGTAGTAGTAGTAGTAGTAGTATAGTAAGTAAGTAGTAGTAGTAGTAGTAGTAAGATAGTAGTATAGTAGTTAGTTAGCAGTAGTAGTAGTAGTAGCAGTAGTAGTAGCAGTAGTAGTAGTAGCACCCTGAGTACTGTAGTTGAATTGCAGCAGCGATGTAGTAGTAGTGCTTTAGTGTTGAAGCAGGCGTCGTTGTCAGAATGCTGGGTGTAATAGTACTCAGTTCTGCTTTAGTACTGTAGCATTGTAGCAGCACCCGCGTATTGTAAGATTGTAGTAGTATTGTAGTAGGTCGCTCAAGGGTCTCGCGGTCTTGTTTCTGCGCAGCCTTATCTGCCGCTTGTCGCGCACACTACCTTCCTTGTTTTGTTGTTCGCGAGGGATGTTTTCTCGGGAGACCGTTCGCGACGCCGCGGTCGATCATGAATCGCGCGGTTTTCCTTCTACTGCAAGGCGCCAACGGGTGCCACTCGCGCACGCTGCCTCAGGTAGCTGCCGCTCGCAAGAAAATGAGGCGTCGCTGCTCGTTATCGGGGGGCCTTTTAGAAAAATGCGCTCGGCACCGAGGCGAGAACGTCGCGTTTGAGCGACTGCGCGCGACGCCGAGGCGAGAGCGCAAAATGGAATGGGCCGCCGGAGCGCGCGCTCCAAAACCGCCCTTTGACAACCCCCCGCCCCCAAGGAACAAGCGCCGCCCTTCATCCCTGCAGCTGTTGCCGAATTTCCGCGCGGGCGCGCGCGGCGCTCGGGCAAGAGCCGCATCTTTGGAAACCGCCCGCCCTCCGCCCGCGCAGCCGTTGCAAAGGCAGCAAGAGTTTGAAAACCGCCCGCCCTCCACCCGTGAAGTTGCTCAAGCCGTTCAAAGCGTTCAAGGCGAGTGCTCGCGGCGCTTCGGCGAAGGCCGCGCGTTGAAGGCCGCCCGCCTTCCATGCGTGAAGCCGCCGCAGATGTCTGAGCTGTTCTTTCGCGGCGCCAAGGCGACGGCCGCGCGTTGGAAGCCGCCCGCCTTCCATCGGCGAAGCTGATGCACACGTTCAACGCGAATGCTCGCGGCGCTGGGGCGAGAGCCACATATGGAAAACCGCCCGCCCCCCATCCGCGAAGCTGCGGGGGAGGAGGAGGAGGAGGAGGCGCGGGGGGCGAGGGGGGGGCAGCGCGAACCCAAGACGCATCAGCGATGTGACAATACACCCCCCATTCAAGCTCGCTCTCCATAGTGCCCTGAAATGAATTATTTCCATCGCGGGAAATGCGATAAGCGATTGAGGATAGCGCATCGTGGTTCCTGGGACTTCAGCGTCGCGAATCAAACCTCCAGAATCGTGCCAGACGGTGCCAGAATCATGCCAGAACCGTGCCACTGGCAATCCTAAATTGCGCCCGAACGTCGCTCCTGGGACTTCAACACCGCGAATCAACGTGACTGTTGCGCCCTGACAGTCGTATAGCTTGCCAGAACATCATGCTCGGGACATCGACCATGCGAAACCTTGAAACTGTCGAAACCTTTCGGCGCGAATGCGCGCGGCGCTGAGGCGAGAGCCACAGTTTGAAGCAGGGCCGCTTTCCATAGAAGCCGTCGCAAACATTCAGTACGAGTGTGCGCGGCGCGAAGGCGAACACATCACTTTGGAGAAGAGCCGCCTTCCGTACGTCAAGCTGCCCCCGAATTTTAATTGGGATGTCCGCGGCGCTCGGGCGAGAGCCACGTGTCGAAGGCCACCCGCCCTAGGAGGAGGAGGAGGAGGAGAAGCAGGAGGAGGAGAAGCAGGAGGAGGAGGAGGAGGAGGAGGAGGAGGAGGAGGAGGAGGAGGAGGAGGGGGGGGAGGAGGAGGAGGGGGAGGAGGAGGAGGAGGAGGAGGAGAAGACGGAGGAGGAGGAGGAGGAGGAGGAGGGGGAGGACTCTCCGTGGAGCTGCTGCACCAACCGTTTGGCAAAGGCGAACGCGCGCTGCGCTGAGGCGCAGACCACACTCTGAGCAGCCGCACGCCCTCCGCCCGTGGAGCCGTCGCAGCCTAACACGCACACGCTGTTCGTTTCTTATGCTTCGAGTTCTTTGATTTTTGTTTGGGGGGGCCAGGATCCTGTCATTTCTAATTCTTCGAGCTCTTTGATTTGTTTTGGGGGGGGGCAGGATCCTGTCATTTCTGATTCTTCGAGCTCTTTGATTTTTTCGGGGGGGGGCCAAGATCCTGTCATTTCTGATTCTTCCATCCTGGGCCTCTTCCTGGCCACTGGGGGGCCAGGAACAATTCGAAACGAGCACGGTCAGAAATGAGCACGGTTAGAAATGAACGACGTGTATGTGCGTGGCGCGAAAGTCGGGCCGAACGAAAGGGGGGGATAGGGAAAGGGGGGGTTGCGAGAGCTGCTGCATGCAGCGGGTCTCGGCCCCGCCGCATGGCCCATTCCTCGATACATGGGCGCCTCCCAGCGCCAGGAGGCGCTGGGAAAATCAGCTGCGTGAGCTGATTCTCTACCCTGCCCTTTGCTATCCTCCCCTTTCGTTCCCCCCGATAGTGTGAGAGCCACATGTTCAGAACCACCCGCCGTTGAAGCTGTTGCCGATGTTAAAACACCGACTGTGCACGGCGCCAAGGTTGGATTGGGGCCGCGTGGTAAGCGCGACCGGGGCCCTCTGGTTGAAGAATCTCCAGAAGATCTCCGGGAAGCCTCCAAATTGTTTTGGGCACTCCCAAAATCAGTGGAAAATCTCCGGGCTCTAGAATTCCCGGGGACATCTTTGCAAATATCGGGTGAATTTCCGGTTGGAATTTCGCTTAAGATATTAAGTTGTCAAGATTGTTCGGGGATTCACTGGAGTATTGTACGGCGCTCGCCGGAAGTTTTTTTGAGAGATGGGTGATTCGCGGGAATTTCTTTGCTGACATTATTGGGCGGTCGCGTTTGCCATGATCGACCCAGTCTAACGCTAGGGCGAAAGCCACATCTTGAAAACCTCCCGCACTCAATCCATGAAACCGTCGCAGATTTCAAGCTTCAGGCTCATGCGTAAACGGCGAGGAAGTCTCATCTCAGGCAAAACGCCCAGCCATCCCCACCGACAAGTTGCGGGGCGTGGCGGGGAGGATCAAAACTAGCAGTGAGGACAAGGGACGGAGGAAGGAGGGGGTACCCTTAAGTCGGGCTTGTCACTCTACAGGGGGGGTATTCAAAAATGATAAAATACAGTCTGGGGACGGTTTTAGTCTTACCGTTTCTGCGATTTGTTTTTATATTGTTGGGGCATGTGTTATCTTTCGTCCACAATCCGCCTGTAGGGGGACACGCCCGACCTGAGGGCACCCCCCCCGCCACTCTCTCCCCCAGCAGGAGAAGGCAAGCGAGGCGATGCCGAGGCTTTCGTCTTCACGGACGCGGCGGGGACGGGCCGCAAGGCGGGCCCCACTCTCGACCCGATCGGCCCGATCTCGATGTCGAACTCGGCTGGCTCGATCTGATTCGCTTCCAAATTTCCCGTCGCCATGGAACAGAAAGGAGGACGAGGAGGAGGATTTTCCGATTTTCGGCGGGTCCCTGGCCTGTTCTCTCCAGGCCACCCGCGGGCCACCCTGGATTGTTTGAGGGCTGCTCAGAGCAAAGAGTTGGCCCTGAGGCTCGGCATCGCTCGGACGTGTGAACTTGTTCTGGCCGAGGACTATGGAAGAGCATCTTAGATTATCTTGCGCCAGAAAACACACGAAACAGACACATGCACGGTGAATTGACGTCCGAGCAATGACAAGGGGGAAGTGGGATCTAGGAGCTGGTTCCCTCAGGACCCGCGTTTCCTTCATGCCAAACTTCCCGTTGATCCGATGCGTCTTCGCACAGCGTTGTTGTGCATCCTGGCGCGGCCGATCCGATCCGAGTGTCGACTCCGTGCTTATAAGGCCCCATCCGACGCACACTCCCATTCCGATCCGCTGTCTTGGTTCCATGCTGACCGATCCTGGCAAGGTCCTCAGCCCGACCGTCCACGCCACCGCCATGGCTACCGTGGCGCGGTGCGAGTTGGCGCTGGGTTCCCAGGTGGCGACGCCGGCGGCAACGACGTGTGAATCTTCTTGCGTCTTCGTCGGCTCTTGGGTGTTTTCCGCTTCGTGGGCGACGACGCTCGAATTTGTTTTACGTTTCCGTCGGCTCTTTGAGGGGCGCTCGCTGCGGCATGCGCTCCAGCAGCTGCGCCTCGCCCAGTGCAGGCTCGCAGCGTCCCCGAATCGCCCAGATCGGCCGCCGCGCCGCAGGCCCGAGTGGCGGCCCGAAGGCCAGACGTTCAACATTTGGGACGGTGGCGGCGGCGTCGCAGCTGCGCCTCGCCTGGAGCGCCTCGCCTCGGGGGGTGCCCGAATGGTCCCGGCCGGCCTCCGCAGCCCCGAGCTGCGGCCCGCAGGCCGGCATCCCAAGAGGCCTCGACCCTCGAGCCTCCAGGAGGTCGGGCATCTCCTCCCACTCCCCCCTTCCTCCCCCCCTCCTCCTCCTC